GATTCAGGCTTTGCGGGTTAAGTTAAATTACGTTATTAACTATTCGCCCGCCATATTGCCAATCAAAAGAAATCCTGAACAGAGATTAGTAAATAAGTTTTGTAATAAGGTTTTATTTTTATTTAATTTATATTGCAACTCATGTATTTGTATGCAATCAATGACAAATTTAAATTAACAACTCTTTTCACTATGTTTAAGCGAAATATCAAAATAGTCACAGAAAATCTATTCTCCTAAAACAAGATATATAAACTCGCCATAATGCCCACTCGTTATACAATTGCATCACTGTTATGTTTAGAGTCATACGTTATATAATATAAAATACCTAGATATATCCAAAATAATATCATTCTTGTACATTTTCTGCTATTACGTCATTTTATATAATTTTTAAAATAGTTTGAAATCAAGTCTAAATTCTACCTAAAAATTAGTTTAGCTCCATCTAAATTTAAAAAGTATAAATTTAAGAATATCTACCAATTAAATGGCAAATTTATAATATGTATAAAACAATTTACTTTTATAATTCACTACAGAGAAAAATCCACATTACCCAGCCTTATTATATTGATAAAATATTAATTTTCCATTCACTTTGGATAATGGTATTAATAATATGTAACCATACCATATCATCTTAATTCCAGTAAAGACATATATAGATATTTAGAAATATAAGCCAATTCGATTGCAATGAATAACAAATTCATTGTAGTTTTTTTCGAGAATCGAGATTAATGAAAAATTACAATAACAGTAAAGCATTTTCTTACAATAATATAATTAATAAAAAGGGCAAATGACACTAAATATTTGATTAAACTGGTGTTAAGATGAACTTAAGAGTACAATTGTATAAAAACTAATACCTCTATAAAATACACAACAATCATAATTATATCTAAAAACTCTTACACCTATGAGTTTATTTTAATATTTGATTACATTTTCAACTAACATATTTACATTATTAGTAATATTTTGTAAAAAAAAAAACACACTAGTCTATTATAAAGTCTAATCACTAGCCATGTAATTCGCAATAATCGAAATGATACGCTGAATAGATTCAAAGTGTCGCGAGGGTCTTATATTACACCATTTATTTATGTACAACACATATTATATTTGTAAACTATTAAAATATATATAAGCGGAAACTTTTTTATTGTATTAATTTATTGCACTGAACATGGCATTCTTACCCACAGAATATTAAAAAAAAATGTTAAGTAAAAATACACAAAATATTAAATACGTTATCCATAGAATAAAATTATTTATGCGTAATCACGATTTTGCGAGAGACTTTACGAAACATTTGTCTTACACGAAAGGAAATTATCTGTTAACTTTCTATTGATTATTCTAGAGAATCGATTGTTAGTTTTGGAACCAATTAACTTCAAAAGATTTAGTTTCACTTTTCAAATGATATACAACTTCATTCTACTTCTTAAAGATTAAAAAAAAAAACAACAATATTGGTACACCCAAGATATCTACAAAGAGCCATAACTATCTAAAAGCATATTAAAATTAAGGAAATCGCAGGACGAACCCTTTTAAGTTTCTTCAAGAAATTCGGTTAAACTCGTTTTTAATAAACTTCACTATTTTATACATTAATTACTTGTGTATTTACTTAAACGGTTTTTTTACTATTCTGTGATTTAAAATAAGAAAGTAACACGATATAAAACAAATAAAAAATAAGACCACTCCAACAGAACCTAAATCCAGCCTACCTATAAAGTCAGTCCCAGAGAATGTGATTATGAAAATCAATATGTAAAAGAAAAAATATTTACAGAAAACATAATGTGATGTTAAGTTACTTCACCCCACTCTTACACTGGGATCGCGTAAGATCATAACAATTAGTAATCTAAAACGGAATCGGCATGAGCTCTACGCCTATAGACATTAGGCATATTTTACCTTAGTTTTTGTACAAAATTACTCCTTCGATCTGATATCAACGAACTTTATTGTTTTTAAGGTGTTATGTTTACAAATCTTATAGAATTAAGTAGTTTTTTATATATATTGAGCAGATATACTTACTTTAAGTATAACTAGCGTATAAAATGCACAAATACATTAGAAAAATGCAAAACACTGACATCAATGTAATATCAGTTACTTGGATATTAAAAATTTCATTTATAAAGACTGGTGCACATAATTTATACATTTTCCACTGAGTATATCCTAAAACTGTTACCCGCATAAAATTTTATTAAAAAAAAGAAACTAAATAATAATTATCAAATTGCTAATCATATCTATTATCGCGTTTCTTATTCTCTTCGACCAACTTGTATTACTGACCTTCAAAAGTAAATGAAAATAACTGTCAAAAACTTAAAAAAAAAAATATCAGCATAACAATTATATGCTATTTCATTGGAGTTTAAAATTATTTAATTAATTATTCCATTATTAACATAAAAATATTTTGTCTAGGCGTCAGTTATGTATATGAATAATTTTAAGGCATAGCTTTATGTAAAACGAGTTAAAACTGGTGTTCCCTTAATTAAAAAAAAACAACTGCAATGCAACATCTATGAACAGTTAAAGCACAAATAAATCTATTATAATTAAATTTGTCATCTGCGTCTTAATGCAGAATAACGTAATCATTGCTATATTTATGTGATGTGTTTGTATAGGTAATTTAATGGCAATTACATAGAGGACAACATATATCCCTTAGATATTTTCTACGGGCAACCTACCTACCAACTACAAGTATTCGTAGTTTGTTGACGTCATATAAAAAAAATAGCAGTGCCTAATTACATTTATATATTAAATATAACTCCCCAAACAACTAGACAAGATTTAATGTGATGCACATTTTAGGGTTACGTTTGATAAAACAATATAAGTGATTAAAATTTAAAATGTCATCTTATTAAAAGACTTCCTTTAATATCAACTGCCACAAAAGCAAATAGAGATTACAGAAGCTAAATTAATATTTTACTTAATCAAAACCCTCAGACAGACACAGTTCGAAACAAAATTATTTTTATTTGATCATACTACCGATCACTGTAGTACCGTGTCACATTTTACTTATAGGGATGACGACTAATTTTTGTCTGTTTGTCCGTCAGGTAGAGTGTTAAAAAATATTAAACACGTATTTTTTTCGTAATTATAAAATTACGGCGTTACATTGAGTTGAAATTTCGCATGACGTCACGTAGCGAGCCCCCACTCCTCAACTTTAATGCCTGTTATCTAAGCTATTTCTCGTTAAATTGAAGTAAAAAAAAAATACGCATCTAATATTTTTCTGTTATCTGACTGACGGACTAAATGGAATTTCATTTTTTTTTTACGTCATACCTAAACTACGATCACTAATACAAAGTACTTATGAAACTGTCAGTATTTTCATCATGCAGAGAAACTTCGTTAAAGCGGTTCCTATAACTTATTTTATCATTACACAGTTAACATCAAACACAATACGAATTTATACTAGAGTAAAATATCACTAAACACTCAATTCATTAAATTTAAACTTATCACCTACCTAAATATGTTATAGGAACCGGCAAGTGGTCAGCTGGTTGAGAAAAAAGCACAACACTATAGTTGAACGATAATATTTAGATTAACACCTTTCAACTCTAGCATAGATATTACTATAATACTATACTAGTCTCTTGTATATTAAATATTGGTCTCAGAAAGAACTACACCTTTTAAATTATTTGTTACAATCGAAAGGTCTATTAAAGCGAGGATGGTAGTCATAGGCTGTGTACATAATTACGCTTTACGAGACTGTAGGTACACGTATAGTCAGCCAAAAATATGGTCTACCAGGTTAAGGTTAATTTGAACGTTATGAATACATGTAAGAAGGTCTATTTCTCTTTGCAATAACGACAGTGATCCTTACTGCTCATGTAAGACATGTCGATATGTCATAATTAAGAATCTAAGTTCCATTAGAATAGTCAACTTTAGCTATAATTGGATCTTAAAAAAATATGTCAAATCTGGTGGAATACTTCCTTGATCGATCGTACATAATATAATGTAGCATCGGCCTAATTAACCAAAACTAGTAATTCCATAAGAGTACTTCTTCATAAAACAATAGGCATGTCGCTGTCAATTCTTATGATTTTAATGCAGTAATTCGTATAAGATTTTCTCACTACAAAAATATACTTAATTTGTAGAAACACTGGAACCGGAATCGACTAATGTTTCATGGAATTACCGCATAACTATTTATCTTAAACTAAACGTCATCGTCAATATCATCAAGAGTCATTTTAACTTATTTTAAATACATTTATTGTCGCTAAAATATTTCATACAGAATAAAAAAAAATTTTTTTATCAACTTGTCAAGTTTATCTTACACGGGATCATTATCTAAACGACGAATTTGAGAATAACCCTAACCTGACCTGACCGTAATTATGTACAGTACATACAGGATCTCAAACGAACCCTTAAGCAGCCAGACATAGAAGATGAAATATTTTAATGATTTATATATGACTAACGAGACTATCCCATCCTCGCCTACAACAATACGACCTTAAAATTTGACTTCGGGGGTGACTAAAATTGAAGTTCGTACCGACGTGATGTCGTCCGTTATGTGTCCATCTCCATTCACAGATGGGACTCGTATGTGGTGTGACGTCAGAGCTGCGTATCGGTGGGCGCGTGGAGGGGGGAGGTGGGGGCGGGCGCGGGCAGCAGGGGGGGAGGGGGGTGCGCGTCCGACGGGTTCATGTCGATGCGGCCCGCCTTCTTCCACACCAGCAGGTCCATTATGAATGCCAAGAACATCAGTGCCGCCGACAGACCTGAACATATAACGGAATATCGTTTAAACTTCATACACACGTGCGAATTATGTATCGAGTGTGTATCTATAATTATTACAATCAAACCGTCCATAAGGAAGGCCTGAACCCCTGCAGTGAGGACGAAATAAAGGGCTGATGATGAGGGACCACACGGGCGGAACGCTAGTACAATATACTGACCTTTTTTTTGATACCGAGGGGAACTGACCTTAACATGCCGTCGGCCTGGGCGAGAGGCCGACTGAACCCGGGCTCTCCCACTGCAAGAGCCGGCGGTCCAGTGCAGTGGGCCTACCCTCTACCCTCTCTCTTGGTCCGGTACCTGGTATCTTACAATAAGTCCCAAGTAGGCAACAATATACTGACCTAGGAAGAAGTGTCGGAGGTTATCGCTGTCGTATGATGCGCACGCGCCGGTGATCCCGCATGCGACGTCCCGCAGGCGGCACGCGGCGTCGATGGCGGCGCCGAAGATGATCGGGCACGGCACGTTGCCGAACACGCCGATCGCGAACTGGATCACGCCCATCGCCATCGCCTTGTCTGTACAACCGATCACTAGCTCTAGTCTTTTTCACATAGCATTGGTACGCTAACATTCAGTGTTTGAAGCATTTAGTGATTTGGTATTAAAAATATATATGTCACATCATCTTTACGAAGGTTTAATTTCTTTTGTTTTAATTGCTAGTTACTCGATTGTAGAGAGAGCGTGATCATCGATACTTTTAATTTTATTAGAATGGTGACACTGACTTTGACAGTTCGTTAACAAAAAGCAAATTGCCGCCATTTTTCGCACACATTCTGTTTCCGATCGCCGAGGAGTAAAAACATCCGACGACATCACGCTCATCTCGTTATATTTTCGTATGAAAAGTGATAAAATGGAACAAATCCACGTTGGTATACGCGTGTATACCGGGCAGGCGTCTGCAGTGTTATTTTAAAGATAGTCCTCCGATATGGACCATCTATTTGGGCTTCGTAAAAAGCCCCTTCTGACTACCCGTCGACATATATAAGATTCCATTTCTTATGAAGATAATCGATTTCGGGGTCAACGTTAACAATAGGATTTATGTAAAATGCGAGTCAGAAAAATCACAAATTTTTATTATAGTTAAATTTAATAGTTAAGACAAGGATAATTAAAAAAATTCAAATGGTTATCGAATATATAATTTGATTGGAACAACTTTATAAATTCAATCCCTACTAAAAAAAATGATCCAATTTCCGTTACAAGTATTAATGTTTACACTTCGGTGGATGAGATTTCTGTGATTATGAATATTTAAAAATTATTTGTGTTTTAATATGGAAATTTAAATTAACATCTAATATATACACAGACCAACTATTTTCTTTTATAACGCACTGAATTAGAGTTCAGAGCCTGCTGAAGTCCCACCCAAACTTGGAGTCGCTAAAGCTAACCCTTGTTCGTGAAACAAAGCGATGATGACTGGCCAAATCGTCTAAGGGCTTGCATTAAAAACAAAGGCGGACATTTCGAATAAAATATATATTTTATCTATTTAATGGTTACTGAAAATTTTAGATATATAAGTGAATTATTTTAAAAAAATCCACTACTTTTATTTCGTCTCAAAACTTACGAACAACAGGTATAGATAGATTGATTAGTATTCGGATTTGCATCCGTGCTTGTGCCATAAAATCTGCTGACGTACCGTGTTTGTCCGTGCACCGTATGATAAGGAGCACGGCGCCCACCTCCCCGCTGGCGTGCACGAACATGACGCAGGCGAATATCGCCACGAACACGTAGATGCTGCTGCAGCCGCCCCCGCACTCGCCGCTCACCGCCACGCCCCCCACGTCCGCCACCCCACCCGCCATCGCCGTAGACATGTTCAACTGGTAACGGGCCAATCTGGGAAACGATAGCGATCACCGTTTCTTATGACAGCTTATACTGAACTTTGTTTAACTAGGTAAAAGGGGTGTAAACAACTTTTTTAATTTTTTTGTTTTTATTAGATAAACATGGAATATATCTAGAGTATCAGTCATAGAATAAGTTAAAGTCTATAAAAAAAATTACTTTCCAAAATTTCCCGCGAAAATGGCATCATCTGTCATAACATCGCTATAGCGTTAAGCCCCTCTTAAAACTAATCTCATTCTATGTGTGCTTACGGTTTAATTGTCTAACTTCTGACATGAGTGGAGGAATGTGATGTCACGCCCCTCTGTTGCGGTCTCGTGAGAAAAAGTATATTTGTATAATCATCACAGAACAGATAATAAGGTAGAACGATTAAGTGGGCGGGGTCGTGCGACCATCCATATGCCCAAAACGGTCATATGAACGTCATGTTACTCAAATTTCCAGTTTATTATTTGCACAATGTCATAGTGGTCTATGGTGCGTCGAAAAATACGAAAATATGCCGAATAGTGCCGTTATTAAGAGTCGTTTGCGTAATGAAAATGTAATTCTGAAAAAAGGAGAAATTTCATTTCATCGGTAAGTAAAAAATATTGGATATATATCAGTATATCGAGATATAATCACATTTTTTTTTCCGTGAGATTGTGTCAGTTGTTAACATAGTGCTTGCAGATATCGATAAAATGCTATCGATAGTACTTAACCCTAATATTATGAATGGCAATCAATTTACATGCAATTATAACATAAAATCTATTAAGATAAATAGTTAACAGAAATTTTTTAGAGATTTGTATGTTTTTGCTACATAATAGTGTTAATTTGTTACATAATAGTTGCCGCCAATTGTTACATAATAGTGTTAATTTACTATTAAATTTTGTAATTCATTGTGTAATGTGAACAATAAAGAGTTTTGTATTGTATGTTTCAGTTTTCATAAAAGAAAAGTGGATTGACGCGTGATAGAAATGGTCAATGGTTTCCTTCTAAAACTAGTTACATTTGTTCAACATTTTTTTCTGTAAATGATTTCATTAATATTAAATAATATGATAAATTACTTACAAATTTATAATGAAATATTATGTATTACATCTAATTTTCTGATTATATTGTGAAATTAAATGGGATATTATTGAAATATAGTTTCAATGAGACATCTTTGTTATTATTTTCCATTCTTAATATATTGTGCTTCATATAATACCTAGTTAGTAAAAAAAATATGGATCATTAAATATACAAAAAAATATAGCTAGGTATCAAAAAATAAAACTATGACTTTATAATAGAAAAAAGGCTAATTCAAATTATAAAATCTAGCCCCCAAAGGGCCAAATTATCATCACTGTCACCTGCTCTTGATATGTGACCCCGTTGCAGCCTACTTCTGATTAAAACTGACAAAAATCGCAGTTACATTGCTACTTTAGCAAGATAGGAATTGGTCTAATTGATCGAACCGTTTCAAGTGAAAGTTGATTACAATCATTGTGAAGTGATTACATACATATGGTATTTATTTTCATTGGATTTTTTTTCGTGAATATGCGAAATGATAAATTAATAAATTATTTTATTATATTAACCCAATATATCAATGATTTTCTGATTATCGATATCAAATTGTGAATCACAGGGCACATCACTATTTCAGTGTTGACAGAAGCGTAAAATTCTTTGCATTATATTTTGAAAAATTGTTTTAATGCAGATACGTCGTGCAATAACATTTTTATGTAATGAAACATGTATTTCAAATGTTTACACATTAACTAATTTAATATCCGCGCACAAAATATAATATTTAGAACTAACAAAAGTAATTGTGCAAATTTTTATTATAGCTAGCCATACATTTTGTGTGTTACTGTAAAATCGCCTGTATTAATAGGCTAGTATATACTAATTTTGCTGAAACTTTTGTAGCCAATGGAAGCATCACTCTCTTTGTGGGCTGAATAGGTGAAGTTTTATGTCTGTGTGATATCTGGCACGCGCGGTCCTAGTACTAATGTTAGTACGTTATCATTCTAACCTTTTTATCTGTTCTGTGATAATCATAATTAATATTAAACATACCGTATATTAAATATTAATATAGTATATTAAACACCATAAAAAAATTATTAATTTACGTTGACTGCCTACACACGTATTATAAGTATCATAATGTAAAAAAACTACCCACAAGCACTACGGTCATAATGTCACTTAAAATTGTACTAGGCTAGACTTACTCACCAATGAATAGGTAAGTCCCGTCAGGTCTACCAGGTTGATTGAAACACAGAATGTGCCTTCAATACGTCGGGTTGAATTAAATACACTCAGTGTTCAATACAGTATTTAAATATAAGTGAAGTTTTAGACGGTCAATATCAAAACAGTAAAGGGGTGGGGAAGTATGAGTTACACTATATACCAACAAGGACAGGTTCAAAAATGTATCAATAACCAAAAACCTAATTCAAAAATGTGTCATCAAAATCCTAAGTAACAAAATTATCTCAACAAATTGCTCAAGTTAGGAAGTATCTATATTAATAAAGTTTTATTATATCTTTGATTTAAGCTAAATTAACAACTGGGAATCTCAAACGAATGCTAGTTCTAAATCTAGTTAGTAATATTTAACAAAAATTAAATATTTTGATTCATGAAGTTTTCGAAATTCAAACCATAAAAATATTTATAAACGCAATTGGTAACAGTTTCTCAGAAAAAAACTGAAATGTAAAAAGTTCTTTGGTGTTTGAAATTTGCGATAACAAAAGACACTATATATTATGCAATTTACACTTTATTGCGTAGTAGTTAAATCGCTATTTATGGAAATGATTGTTAAGATAAACCTGTACTTTGTATTACGTAATCCGTGTTAGTAGTTACAATCGCAAACTGTGTCTCATTGATAATTTAGATGATTTAGTCGGTGTATCCATTCCAATAAGTGATAATGACCAGTACTTGGAGTAGGTGACCAGTATTTAGCTATTTAGCTGATTGTTGTAACAATAAATTACGACATTTGCTAGAAATGGTTACTATTATTTGTTTTAAAATAAATATATTTTATTTTTATATAAAATATATATTTTAATAAATATATTATATTTTAATTTTGCAAAATTAACTACGATTTACAAACTGTGGATTACAAGAACCGAAACGCGAGCGGCCAAGACGAAGCATCGTGTGACGTCACATTTCAATAAACAACGTCTCCGTTGCGAATCCAACACAGTCGTGACGCGAAATATCACGTGACTGATTGTTATCGCGGGACAATTTAAACTGATTAATAAAAATATGTTTCTTATTTTTTTAATTATATTTTTTAGAGAATAACAAATCTGATGTGGTTTTATATAATCATATGTAACTTTTAAAACACTTTTTCAAAACATTCAAGCGGCCAATTAACAGTGTTGTAAGGGGTGGCATGAGTCCCGTGAATGGCTAATGCGCTGGAACCTTGACTAAATAACACACGCGTGACGTCATATGAAAATATAAGTATAGATAGCACAAAATTCAAGAGATAAATTATTTATTAATTATTGAAATAATTATGAATAATCCTCAACATATTGTTACAATAATTGAATAACTTTTAGTTCGATAATTTATAGCATGAATTTTTGGAAAAGATTAATTTATATGTAAATATTGAGGAATATGGAAAATAAAAAAAATATATAAAATGAATTTTACTTGTAATAACGCGATAATAAAAATAACTACAAGTTATAATCAAATGAGAGACATTAAATATATTTATTATTGGTGAAATTATGTTCACTCATTGTGAAAATCATAATAGCAGTTGCCATTTTAGCCAACTATAACAAAACAATAATAACAATCGAAAACAACAAGAATATAAAAAAAACTGTACGCGATTTTACCACAACCCAACTCAATAAGTGTATTCGTCGACCGGTATGTGTTCGATCAATTTTGCATTCACAATGCTATACTGAAAAATATTCTTAATAAAAAATGTTAAAATCCTTTTTGTCCCTGGCACTGGCTCTGTAGCGAAACAGTACCGGGGAGAAAAAGGATTTTTTAAGCACATTTCATTAAGAATATTTCACAGTGTTTATTTGCTAACGGTACTGATTGTTACTGACGGTACTGATTGTGACGTAATTGATTGACGCAATTACGTCACCAAAATGGCAGCCATGCGCATTAGCGATTTGCCGGTATTATAAGGATGGATACTGACGTGTTAGTGGTGACAGCGGCGACGCTGGCCGTGTCGATGCAGGAGCAGTTCTGGTAGAGCCACGTGTTGTTGTCGAGTTGCGCGCTGTGAGTGCAGCCCGCCTCGCACGGGGACAGGTACGTGTACGAGTCCTGGAACGAATCCACGTCTAATGGTCACCATACACGTTAGGGTTTCCGTGATAGTTTAAGCTGTGCATACGTAACCGAGTTTCAAATGACACATTAGGGTCGGTATGCACAGTTTTGCCAATAACTTTCAGTTGAGTTACTTAACGGTGTGTGTACATTGTATACTGTACTTGGCTTTGCGCTATTCTGCAGAACAGAAAGAGAAAACGATATCGCACAGAATGGTGTGAACTCTTGTTATTGAAAAGAAAACAATTTTCTCGTGCAAATTTGATTAATAATAATAATTTATTCTCTCAACACAAAATCATATACATATGAGTCTCGTGATTCTTAATACATTTTTTATCTTAATTTTGTGAAATTGGTTTCAGCAGAAACCCGTGGATTGAGATTTACACCAAAAGATAACAAGTTTATTTCATCATCATCATCATCATTAGCCCTATTACGTCCCCACTGCAGGGGCTCAGGCCTTTCTTATGGATGGTTAAGGAGGATGGGCCATGACGCTGGCCCAATGCGGATTCAAGGATATTAATGACTGCAAATGCAACCGGGACCAACGGATTAACGTGCCTTCCGAAGCATGGAGTAGCCCAAGATAATAATTTTTTAGTCACCCATCCTGTGACCGACCCTTGCTAAAGTTGCTTAATGACAACGATCAAGTTTATTTACGGATGGATTAAAATCTTTATTTGAAACTGTTATCATTGATAATTGACCGTTGAAAACTGAGAACTATGCAGACGAGCTCCGCGTACGCCACACACACGCTCGGCTATGCACGCACACAATCGTACAATCGAACTGCATAAAATATCGATTATGATATTAATTTGATTGCATGTGTGTGCGCTGATAACTGTACAGTTTTATCACATACACGTAAGGGTTCGCCTGTATATTACGCATGCAACGCTAAAACCATCATGCAAACCCTAAGGCGTATGGCCTCCATAATTATGGTAACTACAAATAATGTCACACATTGTGAATCTTCGTTTGGGCTATTAGTATTGACAGTAATCAATAAACAATATGAAATTGATATAAAATGAAACATGTTCACCAATTATTACTCCTATTTAGTGACTCTTAAAAATTAGGTCCAGATTATATATATCTTTCCAAGCGCAACGTGTCAACTGACTTTAAATAAAAATCTAAAACGTGTGACGTCATACTACTGCGTCAGATGTCATTGTCTAAACGCGTGAGTCTACATCATAGCCTATTATAATCTGCAAAAATTATACATTGTATTTGTTTAAAAATATGTTAACACTAACTTTCGCCAGCGGCTTCACCCGCGTGGACCCTAGAGAAATGTTTAGTGGGATAAAAAGTATCCTATTATCTAAGTCAGCTAACATCCTATCTGTATACCAAATTTCATTAAAATCCATTCAGTAGTTTCGGCGTGATTGACCGACAAACATCCAAACAAAGAAACTTTCTCATTTATAATATTAGTAGGATTATAGGATGTGTTATTACGCTATTATCTTATAGAGTGACCACAAATTTTAATTTTTAATGCAGTCAAATACACAATTGTGCGAAATGTAGTAGTACAATAAATACCTGTCCACAGATGGGGCTGAACGAGACGTTGTCACACCTGCAGTTGGCGCTGCACGCCATCGTGTAGTTGTCCGCGGCGCCGGCGCCCAACCACCGGTAGCTCTCCTCCGGGCAACTCACGAACATCAACATCACCATACCTGGGACAGACGTATACGTACACGTTTTATATGCGTATACACTTTAATAGAAACCTTGGTAACCAAAACCTTGGTAGGGTAAGGCTATTTATCTAATTATAAAACCTGTAAGAATCTCTTTCGATTTAACATTTGAAAGATATTCAGGAATATAGAACTACAACTAGGGACATGTTTGTATGTGATAATGATCGTGTATTTTTTTATATATATAATGGACATTATCGTTAATTTAACGTTAATTGGCATAATCTAAGGCGAGCGTTAGATGCAAATATCTTTGAAAGCTATTGGGAAATATCAAACGAAATGTTAAGTATAATCTTTCAACGGGTTTAACTCAATGAGTTTAATAACTAGAGAAGCAATCCCATACAACAGACGCGCCAAAAAGCGTAGCACTTTTCCGAAATCAGGACGTAGCTTTGCAAATAATATTTATACTATATATTGTATATAGATTTATTATATTTGTCTCCCTCATATCTACGATTAAACTTTAAATTAAACTAAGACAGAATATGTGCGAATGACAGAATGAACGAAAAAATGGGTAATTGATATTGTATTGCCAGCTGTCGAAAATTTCACCCATTGTGATGAATGAATGAATGAACGAGTAGTGTAGATATATGTATAAAATCAATTAGTAAAATACTTTAACTTTGAAAAAAAAAAACAATCATGAAGAGATTCATATATATCCCGTTGTTTTTCGATAAAGTCAGTGTTTAAGACAAAAACATTTGTCAAAGTTCATAAAACATCAAACAAAGGTTCAATTTCACGTATTTTCAAAAGTTGTATCTCGACAACTAACGAATTCCACGCATTGAAAAAATTAAACCACATTAGCATCTGTGTGCATGTATAAAAAAAATATCAACAGGATTAGAGCAGTTGCTTATACTTAAGCTGTGCTATATAATTAATTATAAAAAGATATTTAGATAAATTTTAGGCACGTAAAATAAAAAGAAAAGGCTCCCATATACTTGGGAAAATTGAAAGTGAATAGCAGTGGCAACACTGACGACAAAATGTCGAAATTTTATTTGTGAAAATTAAATATTTTTATTTTATAACCTAGCATTAATTTTGTATTTATTGCCAAAAATGTTAATGACTTAAGTGTGAAACTTAATATTCTTTCGTATTATGTATATTTGTGAAAGAGAATCGAATTTTATCTACTGTTTTTCTTTGTTTTTGCGGAGCATTTTTTTGTACTTTCTTGACGGAAGTTGAATGAGTAATGAAGTGAAAAACGAAAAAACTAAGACAAACGTCTTAGTTTTAGTAGCTTCAGATTTTTGGTATGTATTGCGTATCTAGACATATTAATATCATTGGTTTAACTAAGTTTTTCTCATATTTCTCCATCATTTAAATCATTATTCGTTCCAAAATCGATTACGATTTTAAGTTTTATAATTCCATATAAATCGCTACCACAATTACATAGTGTAGTGTACTGTAGACTAGTGAAGTGTGTGTACTGTAGGTAGCATAGTGTATCGTAGTGTATTGTACCTGCGCTGTATATGGCGGCGGTGGCGGCGGTCCAGGCGGCCACCTGTCGCGCGGTGGGCACCAGCTTGAGGATCACCACGCCCGACGTGATGATGCCCAGACCCATCACCAGGATACCGCCCAGAGCTGAACACGGTCAACATATATCATCAGCGAGGGTTTATATGTCATGTTGTTGATAGAGGCGACAACTAACTTTCTAATAATATACAGGCTGTTTCTTTACTATTCCGAGCTTATAATTATCTGCTTATTAAAAAAAAAACAAATCATAATTCATAAGCAAAATAGCTAACAAAAGCATCGTCAACTTCAATATATAAACATTAATGATATGCCAGAATATTAAATATGTTTATCCGCGAAAACGGATACGTACGCACATCATTAAGGACTGTAAAATGTTGCTGTAAAGTATATCTTATTGCGAATAGTCTCTTAAACCCGATTTACACTTTATCAAGTACAGTAGCGAGTTAACTTGCAAGTGTAAATAGGGCTTTAGTGTCCACATCTGCCAATTAAGATGTTATATTTAGTTGCGATGCGTATAACTTTGATAAGACGATTAATGCGAATAATTAGTACATACTTTATTTACATTATATGATAAGTCGCTGCACTAATATTAAATATTAAATTTATGCATCATAAACGTGTGTTAAATTAATACGGTATTACACCTATATTTAAAAGTACCTCAATTCAATCATAGGTCCTAATAAACAAGTGGAAAAAATATATAAAACTTTTATTCAGTCAACAGAAATGTCATGAATTTCATAAAAATACTGGACGACATGTTGCTGTGAAGTTGTGACGTCAGCTGGTATTGTAAACGGCCACGTTGCCATTACATTTTATGCACTTTTATTATATTCTATTAATTGTAAGAAGTTAGTAATTACATCAATGTTTTAACATTTCCTAATGCAGCAGAATAAAAATAGAGATTTGCAGTCAAAAAAATCCGACGAATAGAGTTTACTATTGGAAAACTGTGCGGTCACCCTTTACAAAACCCCGTACCGCGGTATTATTTCAATAAAAATGTAATTTTCTTTATTTTGTCCGTAAAGAATTTAAAAAATAACCTCTAAACGTATAAATCTTGCTTGAAACTTAGTTTTCTTGATTGTTTACAATGCCGAATGAGATCATATCATGGCGGCTACTGATTCGCTTGATAAAAACACATACTAATATACACAGACTAAAATATTTTCAAACTTTGATGTTAATTATAAAAAATATTATGTGAACTTAAACTAACATTTTCAGACTGCTTCTTTATGTTTTTTATTGTACATGTACAAATTTACATGACCCGAACGCGAACAAAAATCTATCTCAATAAATAAGCTATTTAATTTGTATATTTTTAGATTTTTCCTAGTATTTACTAAAATAACCTTAGATTGCACCGTTATTTATTATTAAAATTAGAATTCATATACGGAAATAAGTTTAATAACACTAAAGTGTCGATACCAAAAATATCCGTAATTTTGGCGGAATATCTGGCGTTTCGCTCGTAAACACAACATATAACTCGCTCGAGAATAAACGCGTATGATATGACGTCACGGGGCGCTTCCCCACTAGCATATAGATAGTACCTCACCCGAGACAAGGTTAGCATCGTGCGTCGGCAGCCGGAACTGTTTCTCCAGATACTTGGGCAGGAAGCTGTACACGCCGCTGATCGGCATCAAGTGGAGCACCGAGCTCGCCGTGCGCCACATCAATATGTCGTTGGTCAACTGTCGCTTGATAGTCGCAAAGAAGTCTGCGAAACATTTTCACACATCATACAGGGATGAATATCATACATACTATGTTACGATCATAATAAAGAGCAAGTAAGTAAGATCGTCACTAAGAGACGACGAATTATGGGAAATTCGATAATTCTTAAGAATACTTGAACTCTTGTCTCAGACCAGGCTGGACTCTAACCAAGGACCCTTCGATATCCTGCGTGTCTTCGACCTAATGAATCCCAACCATCGAATTTTTCAAGTACTTTTTATTTTAGCTGAAGTATTTTTACAACTTTAGATTAAGATAAAAATGCGTTTATAATTAATTGCATATATATGATGAATTATGCATTAACAATTCTTCTTATTATTTATCTTATAAATACTTTGAAAAAACTGTTCATAAATCGTAACCGAGTGGCACCCACGCCGGTTTCGAGGTGTCGCCATATCTGAGGTCGCGGGATCGATTTCCGGTCGAGTTAATGTGGAAGGTGGACTTTTCTTCATTGTGTCTGGTAACTTAGTTGTTTCAGATTTCCATAATATATGTGCTTTTGCTACTTAATTAAGGATTATCAGCAATGTGTGTGGTGTATTAATTCACATGACTTGACGAGAGAGTGTCTCGTCTCTGTTTTACTTATTGCAATTTGGAAATACGAAACCGTGTATACTACAATTCAACTTTAATGTAATGTTTTGTTAGATGTACCTTTGAATAACGGTGCCCGCTTCTCCTTGCTCTTCTTAGGCGGCGGAGGCGCCAGCTCCTGTTTAATCTGGCGCGGGAAGAAGAACATCAGCGACGACAGGACCACTATGAAACCGGCTATGAACACCATGCCTGCACCAACATCACATCACACTTAATATGTTGTCTATTAACTAATTAATGTATAGATAGATACCTTATATAATTATAAATACGTCTTATTCAGTCATGTACACGTCGAGGTATCTTAAACTATTGTTGATGTTATAATGATATTAAAGTTCAAAATCAGTTCAAAATACAGAAAGACAATTGACCTGTTGACAATTGGCTTGAAACCGGTTCAGAATAAACCGTTTTTATTTAGGTAAAACCTGTTCTATTATAATGTTCCGTTCCGGATCGGAACTAAATGCGGAGTGAAATTCGGACAGAATAAAAACCGGTTAATTCGCTTGGTTCGTAAAAAGCAATGTTCTTACGCTTTTGATGCGAATTATGTCATTTTTAAGCGACGACATTTATCATTCCTGTGTACGATGTTATAGATAGGAGTGTAGGCACTTAAAAACCGCGCTGAAGTTTGTGAGATCATTGTCTGGAGTCATATTTAAACCGGTTAATTAACCGGTTTAAAAACCGGTTCAAAGGAGCTGAACCTTTTATGTAAAGATTCGCATGTACTTACGTCGAACCGGTTCAAAAAATAAACCGGTTTCCAAGCCCTGGGATACGATATATAAGCGATGTTATGACGACATTTCGTTTCATTCTACTGTGACGTGTACTTTAATAAGAAGAATAAATGATAAAAGAATGGTAATAATGAAGTTAACAGCAGTTTTACCAACTTAGCCATTTTACCAAATTTCGTCCATCATAAACACATGTCAAAGTGATAAAAAATAAAACGTAATATCCTATGGCTAAGGAGTTAGGCGGTCGCACCCCAGGTAAATTTTCAATCAATTTTAAACCTAATTCATTTATATGTTAAGGTTTAAAATAAATCAAGCGGTCGCACCCCTGATGTACGATACATCTAAGATCCTAATTTCAACTTGTTTGAATCTTATATTTGTTTTATTTCAAAAATTTCTTTATGTGAGAATACTTGTAAGTCTGCGCTGAATATTACACAGGTTTTCAAATGTATCTTTCACGCGTCGACTAACGTGAAAACATTGCAGACATTTACTTACAATGCAGCCAATACGCCTAAAAACAACAAATCTTACATTCAACATCCTGCCATATTATCAGACACAAACTTGGGCAGTGCTAATTGAAATTCCACTTTTAACAGTCTACATATCGAGATCATCGTCTTTAGTTTACTTTCCAGTGAATCAAAACTCAAACAGTTTTAGACTCTATGTCTAATTAATTCCATAAATAGAACCATTATCCTTGCGAACACGCGTTGCTGCAAAAAAATATCGCTAATAAACAAACAGAAAGATACGGTGAACCCGCGAATCATTTTGTTTGAGCATGGAATCGGCGAATTTTCGTATGGAATTTTGTAATTATAACAATTATCGCCCATCATTGTAAGAAATGCCTGAGTAATAACCCATACGTTTGAAATTCATATGATGTGAGCTTATCATAAACTTCACGCTCGAAATCACCCACGTCATGAGGAGCGACGAAGCACGAAACTCTTAATTTGGATGAAGACAACACACGAAGAAGAATCTATACAAATATTATATAGAGGAAAGATTTGATTATTTGTTTGCATCGAAAAAGGTCCAAAACTACTGGACTTATTTTAAAAATTCTTTCATCTACGGGTAGCTACATCACGGGTTGCCATAAGCTATAATTAACGCGTGCGAAGTCGCGGTAAAACATCTAGTATCGTATAAACACCTGTGATAATATTGTTCGATAAATAACTTAAATATGATCAACATCTCAAGAAAAAGATCCTAAACAAAAAATTAAAACGGAGTAATTAATGAGGAAGGATTTTGAAACGTAATTAATCATGGTTTGACCAAACTGTTAAAAGAGTATGGCAATCGACAATACCGTAACACGTTGAACGCCATTTACACAGTAATTACATCGGTGCCACATATAAATTCTAATTAAATTATATCATAACGACACTGGAAAGCAAACACATAGTAACCCAAAAAACCAATATTGTTCTTCAGAGCAAAAAAACTATATTTTTTCTTCGAAAAATAATTCTTATAAACGTCCATGGTAATAAATAAGGTGTTCCTTCGTCTATTTATACGGTAATAACATATTTTTTGGTCAATTATAAAGATTTTCTACTGTAAACATCCATTTTGGTTATGCAGGTTACTAAGTGTTTGCTTACCAGCGACGCATGAATATAAGCTATTTGAAAAAAATATATCTCATCTATCAAAAAGAATTTAAAACTTTAAATTGAAAAACTTCTCAAAGAGGATTCTTGGAAGACTGCAAATATACGACTACTACAAGACATTGTACTTACAACTTTTTTGGCTTCTACTCAAATACCTCCTTTTGTGTCTATTTAGATAATGCTCCGTAATCCACGAATTAATGTTAATCCCATTAACCGTTCATACAATACCCAATGTGGAATCGACTTAGATGTCCTCACTCATTCGTGTCCAATAAAAATGATGTTATAAACGTAAATTGGAAAAATCATCTTACTACCATTTATTGCTTGATCTTATGCAACGTGAAAAATGTTTAAAATTAATTTAACACCGCCTGGCGGAATAAGGGTCTTAGTAATATTTCTATATGACCCGTAATCATCTTCATGATGCTCAAACAACATGAACGAGCCTCAATTTTCCTATCAAGCACACTTAAATACTAGATTACCATAGATTTTTTTGAAAAAATCTTCAGAAAATATTTCGAATATAAATGAGAATCATTTCACACATACCGGACAGCCGAATCAACAACGCATTGTTTGTCAATATCATGGCAATCATTTATTTTATAAGGGATAACCATTTAGACTCATTTGTCAATTCAATAACGATATCGATATACGGTGTCTATAAATGTAAACAATCCGATATATCCAAACAGAAATCGTTTGTGTATGGTTACAAGGTCGCCCGGTCGACGCTCAGTCAAGGGCGTTCGCTAGACACATTGCCTATCATGATACGAAATACTATTTAAAATTATATTTACCACACACGTAATCAACACAGGAATCTACTATACCGATGGAGCTGCACGTGTGACGTAACTTTGTGAAGCGTGGTGTCGTCGCTTCAGAAACATTCATAGACGGGTGAACCTCGTGACATTTGTAACATAGAACCGAGGAGGAAGACGAAGGTCAAACACGGAACCGGTTTAAAAGTAAAAGTGAGCAAGAGGGCGCGGCGGTCGCGTGTCCACCCACTAAATCCTCATTACGAGCACGGAGACGGCATAATTGTCGACAGGCGCGCAGCCTTGGCCGTGACCGGTAGATAGAGCGCTTATTTTAGTTGAGGTGACGCGCCGTGATGTAACTACACTTTATGTAATGTAGAGCGTGCGCCGGCGCAACGTGACGGTTCGCCGCCACCGCCGCCGCCATCGACGCCACTAGAGAAAAAAGCGAAAGCTGCATGAAACTGCAACGAGACACCGACGACTGTTCCTCTACCTACATCACGGATGAATCATAATAAGGCAACGAAAGCAACCACGATGACCTGAAAGCCTGACGATGAAAACCACTTCTTACATTAAATTATAAATAAAACACGAGATGAAACTGGAAAATATACATACGCAATATGTATTAACATATTATGCAACATTCGTTTTTCCTCGACCTCCTTTGATCTCCGAGCAATCATTTACTTGATTGAACCTGATTTGGAGAAGGTATATTGAGGAATGATTAATGTGTTACGAGATATGATCCCTGTGATTATTATCCATTTTGATGCTATGTCCGATTGACATGAAAATTCCCACCCAAATAACACTAATAACCTCATAAAAATCTCTAGACATCGTGATTGAATCACTTTATATTGATATGGTCAAAAAAGTAAGCCAACGGTCGCTTTACTATCCTAAAACACTTAACAGGAATTCTTAACATAACTTACTTAAAATTCAGAGCTTCATTCATGTACTTATGGCGGTTGAACAATAAGGAAATACTCAGAAACCATTCAATGAGTATTTGCGAATTTGCTTTATTACCAGTCAAGCCACGCGTGTAGCAGTTTTCTACAAGAGGCAAGTGTTTGAAGGCACTTTTAAATTAAGGGTCAAAGGATTTTCAGCCTTTTTATAAAGACAGTAGAGGATTAGTATTCGCTCGACTAGTACAAGCTACGGCTGGTAGACACGCACGCATTCGATTAGTACTTGGGTCACGCGCATGCTTTCTTCGTGGATTTTGCGCGCGAATCTGCGCTAGCGCCTCTAACGGTAGATAGTAAGTTCCACGATGGAATGCGAAGGAACTGCGTTCCTAGTTCTAGACATTATTTTGCACCTGTTCCCATTAAATAATGTTCCCCTTTTTCAAAATCCATAATCAAGCTAATGATTTTCTAGTACAAGTGACATTTTACAAATTCGCTATGTAAGTACTTTGGTTTGAGATTACCTAAGAATCTGCTGTCTGAATTAAAAAAAAGAAATGGTCACGGGGAACTATAAAGAGACATGTCATATAATGATTTACCAAAATACTCCTACTGAAACTCTCAAGGACGCACGACACTCCTGCTAATGTAAAAAAATCAGTTTATACATCAAAACATTGAGATACAAAACAACATGGCAACTAATAGTTTTTCTTCTTATTATATATTCAGAAATCTATAAGATTTCCAAAATTACACTGGCACGTATAACTATAATGAACATACAAAGCCAAATAGAAGGGAATATCCTTGAGTTACCTGATCATTATAACTCTATTATTTCTCAATTAATGGGAATGTTTACGTCAAATACTGTATAATGACACCGAACCCAATATTTTGTCACTTCTACGAATAGCTGCTTTATATTATTTATTTATTTATTTATTTATTATTTATTATTTAATTAGGTACGTCAACATCATACATATTTAACCTTTATAATACAATATTTAAACAATTACAATTTCTGATACATATGACAATTACAGACATACACAACATTCATTTATTTATATTATTGCACATTCAAATCCTAAACACTAAATCAATAGTAATAAATTAAATCAATAGAACCAAAATTAATTCAATTAATCAAGTCAAATTAAATTAAAAAAAGAAAAACAAATAATTTAATCAAAACAAAACAGCTTAAATTTATATTTATATAATGTAATGCAAATGTCAACACACCATCACACGTCAATATCCCAACATCCATTTGGTCAGTTCCCCCTAAACTTCACCAACGGGTCGGCAAAGATATCGACATCACCGTGGCACATACTAAATTGGTTATAATTTTTGCATATTCTATAGATTGGAGAATTTGATCCTGTGTTAGTTTTGCAAAAAGGTACGTGGAATATTTTTGCGATAGATTGTCTGGGGTAATTATAAGGAACCGATAAACCAATTTGATTTAAAATGTCTACAGAATCAATCTGACCATTGATAACTTTATGTAGGAAAATTAGGTCGTGATTTACCCGACGTTCTCGTAATGTCTGTATATTAAAAAAAGACAACCTTCTCTCATAAGGACATCTATACGATATACCGGGAGAGCAAAAAGCGAGATACCGCGTAAATGCGCGTTGGACCGATTCCAATCTTTGTGAGCTTATACTATAGAATGGGCTCCATACTGTGCTCGCAAACTCGAGATTACTACGAACTAAGGAATTATAAAGCAGGAGTTTGGTTTCAATTTTCTGGAAATCCTTCGAGTTACGCCTTATAAAACCCAGCATCTGTGAGGCTTTTCTTGTGACTAAGTCTATATGCGCATTGAATTTTAGTTCGTTATCTATCAATACCCCCAAGTCGCGCATTTTATCGACCTCCTGTAGCTGAATGCCATCCAGTTCGTAAGTATAATCCAACGGGACTTTTTTCTTTGTGAATTTTATATGGAAGCATTTATTGACGTTTAGTGACATGTCGTTAAAAGTACACCACCGCGATATAGCATCAAGATCTCTTTGAAGTAATTCACAATTTGAGGGTGTAGCTTTTATGTACAATTTTAGGTCATCGGCAAAAAGAAGGAATTTAGAATGCTTTATTACATTTTCTATGTCATTGATAAAAATCAAGAACAAGACTGGTCCAAGGTGAGAGCCCTGTGGCACTCCCGATACAGCATAATATGTATGAGACTTGTACCCACAGGTGACAACTATTTGAGACCTGTTCGCCAGATAGGATTTAAGCCAATCCAAGAGCGACCCACAAATTCCGTTTGATTCCAGCTTACGTAGAAGCAATGAATGGCTAACCCTATCAAATGCGCTTTTAAAATCTGTATAGATAGCATGAACTTCATTACCTCTGTCTAATTCCGCACTCAAATCGGACACAAATGATACCAAGTTAGTTTCCACAGATCTTCCTCTAAGAAACCCGTGTTGATGCATAGAAATAGTGTTTCGAATATGATGAGATATAATCGGAGTTACTATGGCTTCAAAAAGTTTTGCAAAACAGTTCAGAATAGATATCGGTCGGTAGTTTTGGACGTCAGTATCATCCCCCTTTTTCAATAAAGGCACTATTCTTGCCTGCTTCCACATTTGCGGGAATATGCCTCCTTGAATTGAGCTTTTAAAAATGATTGCTAGTGGTAAACTTAAAGCAGAACCACACCGTTTAATTACCAAGGGATGAATTCCATCTGGGCCACTACCCTTTGAAATATCTATTTTCTTTATTTGCTTCAAAATATCCATCTCTGTTATTTTTATTCCATTAAGAAAACCATTTGGATATCCATGGAGGGGCATGTGTTCAGACCTATTTGTTTTGGTATAAACAGAAGCAAAATGTGTGGCAAAGAGATTCGCGATGTCCGCACCCGTATCGGCAATCGAGTCTCCCATATGCATATAACTAGGCAGTGAAGATTGACGTTTTCTTTTTCGTTAACAAATCGCCAGAAAACCTTGGGATTGCGGTTTATATCGGTTTCGATTTGATTTTTATAGGAGGAAAGACATTTTTTGTAAAGCAAACCGCAACGATCACGAAGCAGTTCAAACTCCAGTTTGTCCCGTGGATTTTTTGATAATTTATACCGTTTACGTAATTTGTTTTTCTCAGCAAGTGTCTTTATAAGAGAATTGGAAAACCAAGAAGGAAAGCTGGATTTCGATATTTGCGTGCTGGCGTATATTTCGATATGGCAGATCCAAGAATAGTGTAAAGAGTAATTACCATATTATCGACATTTTGGCCTTCAAATTCACGTTGCCAACTTATGTCACTTAATTCTGAGGTCATACCATTAAAATCCGACTTGAAGTAGTTATAATCCGAGCGCGGTTTTGGCTGTAAATAAGTCATTTTAGGGAAAGTTAATGTTATTAGTAAGCCAGGGTGATGTGGATCCAGCTTAGACAATAGATCTAGCGGTTTAGTAACATTTGCATTAATCGAACTACACAATACTAGATCTAATATTTTGCTATTAGCATTACATATTTTGTTCATCTGATACAGGTTGTTAGTTGCTAGAAAATCTACAAGTCTTATGTCCAGTGCGGTTGTGTAATTAGATGGCATTGCATAGGGCAAATTGTCGTCGTTAATCCAAAATATAGAGCCTTGATTAAAGTCTCCTACAACAATAACTTCATCAATATGATTGAGCACAATGTCAGTATTGTCGAGGAAACGGCATAAGGTTTCCATTTTGGCTGGAGGAGGGAGATATACAGCACATAAAGCCAGCTTTCGAACACTACCATCGATTTTTATTTGTAACGAGATCCAAAGATCTTCAGTTTCAGATTCCCACTGCGACATTCGGGTCGAAGCCAGGTCACGAGACACTGCCACCAAAATACCTCCCCCATCCAGCTTGGAATTAGAAGAAAATTGACGATCCCGACGATAGATTACATATCGCGAATCAATCAACTCCCCGTCATAGATCTTAGAATGCAACCAAGTCTCAGTAAATACAATTATTTTATACTCATTTTGCAGGATATTATTGCGGATATTGTTTGTTTTCGTTCGCATACCTCTAACGTTTTGATAATAGATATCCAAAGAATTGAATGCTACCTAATGAGTTCCACAATTATCATACCTGTGTTTTCCTGGGAAAACAAATTACAATCAAATAATCAGCTTAAGGCTATCAAAATTGCGTACCAACAATGCAGAACAGTGCTCATTTTTCCTAGCATAGATTCTTTATAATTAATTGATTATAATTAATTTGTCATCGAAAATACAGTAAGCTGTACTGTATATCCAGATAAAAATATTATTTATTAATAACAGTTAAAGTAAATATTTGGGCAAGCATTCTTATAGAATATTTACGATCTGAATAAGAAATGCCTATATTTGATTACAGAATTTCATAAAAGTTCGTCTCGCATTTATTTGAACAGCGAGTTGCACAAACGTCCATTAAAGTTGTCAATCACAGCGACATTACCGATACATTTTTAATATACATTAGAGTTTAAAGGCGTCATTAAACCTTAATGGACGTTTGTGCAATTTACTGATAATGCACGTAGAATAATTATTCGTAGAGAATACTTACCGAGCCACCATGCTCCAACCCATTTCGGATCACTGGATGCGTATCCCGGATCTGAGAGCGGGTCCACGTACACCCTGGTGCATAGAGCGCCAAGTAGAAAGCCCAACGCAGGGCCGATAACTCTGATGCCAATTGTGATAGCTACCGACAAAAAACACAGTAGAATATTCGCTGCTATAGTCAATTTTGCGCTGTATAATAAGTCTAAGTAATTAACATAATAACACCAATAGCACTGAACATATTCAGGTCCTTGTTACTTTGCACAAGTCCATTACGTTTTACTGAAAATAAAAACAACTTAGAAATTTGGCTTCCTTCTACATCCATAAAATGGAAAAATTTTACAGGACTTATTTGCATCTTTGTTATATTTAAAACCTTCCTCATTCATACAGAACTTTAGAATTGTAAGTTTATCAATAATCTACCTACTTATATAAGTTAAGAACTACTTCCAACAAATTGGTAAAGAATTTTAAAAAATCTACTTCAAAATTGAAATTGAGAAACTTTTCTTTTAGATCTCATCTCCATCTCATCTCATCATCTCCAGCCCTTTTACGTCCCCACTACAGGGGCTCAGGCCTTCCTTATGGATGGTTAAGGAGGATGGGCCATGACCCTCCACGCTGGCCCAATGCGGATTGGAGGGTATTAACGACTTCAAATGCAGCCGGGATCAACGGCTTAACGTGCCTTCCGAAGCACGGAGTAACTCGAGATAATAATTGTTTGGTCACCCATCCCGTGACCGACCCTAGCGAAAGTTACTTAACGACTAAAATCGCGGGCCGCGGCGCTTATACACTACGCCACCGAGCTACTTTTAGATCTATGAGTTTACAATTTACGGGCAGGAGGTGAAAAAGATACTTGAATTATTCTGCCCTTACACGAGTGTTATTATCGACACGCTTGGAGCCGCAATTTTGTAGCACATAGTAAATAATAATATTAATGAGAGATATAGAACTCGCGGTGGAGTCTGTCGTTTCGGGGAAACACTATTAGCACCAGCAGTTAATCATGTAGTAAATATTAATAGGCGCCATGTGAAAGCGGAGGCGGTCATTATGCAAATTGAGATGGTCTTGGTACACAACAGGCTATCGTTTATCTCAATAGGACTAGGGCTCAGAGGCTAATTGAGGGTCGTCGAACCCGTGACGACGAATCACATTATAGTATGAAGAATGGCAGTCTCTACACCAATTATATCAAATTTACAGAGTGTCTGACCTTCCGACATTTATCATTTACACGCATTATACTACAGAAGATCAAAGTTAATGTAGGACCATACATAGCAGAATTTAATTCCCAAAACGTTTAGATGATAGATGATGACATATGTAAATAACGTGCCCTTTTCGTTAAAACAGTTGCAATAAGTCGTCTCCATACGCGAGGCATATTGCCAGTTCTAGAAACTGTCACTTATAATAAAAGAAATAGAAACCTTACAAAGAAGTCGGTCGATCGACATTCGCTATGCTATTTCAATTTACAACAAAGAGCTGTTTAGTATTTTAGCTGCGCGTTAAGTCGGTTAAAGAGTAGATACTAATTACTCTGCTTCAAACCTCTACGTGGTAGAAAAAAAAAAATTGGACTATTCAAAATTACTTTTAATGAAGATTATTTTGTTTTACTTTTACCGAAACTAACGCTGACGAAAACTGGTCCAACTGCTGTTGATAGTAGTTTCGACAAGAAACACAATTGCAAGTTGACATAATTTAAAAACCATCACACTACGTTTACATTCAGCCAAAGTGAGCAGGGAAGTGGCCGGTACACCTCCCTTACCGGCGTGGCTGGTTTGCAGGAAACTAGATATTCTGACCTTACTGAACACACGCTAGGTTGCACTGGCCACCGACACCAACGTAATCACGGACTAGAAATTCATGAATGACAATGAGTAGAGAGGGGCCTGAAGAGTTAGCCCGGATGGATTTTCAGTATCGACGGCGAAATTTCGGGATACACAAATTGGTCAGTAGAATTGAATCGAATGAATATTTAAAGAACACATACACTGACAAATTGAATACATAATAATAAGAACAGTACCTAATGATAATACAATAACTACAATATAAACTGTAAATTAAACTAAATTCTAATAATATTCTATCATAGTTGGTGCAGTGTTCAAAAATTCCCGGCTCGACATAGTGCTACAACAGAATACAGAGTCGATTTCAGCCGGCATCCGAGGTGAGCCATTGCAATGGCAATGCTTAGCTAGCATTGCTATATTCCGCTAACGGAGACGCAATGGTGCACTTTCCTTAACGTCTGCCATACCTTACGTTTCCCTAGCACCACCCCAATTGTCTGAGAGATTTTCTTGAGTTGCGCTCGTGAAGTCTCCACCCGCAGAGAGACTTTGTCCCCCACCAGGCGTTACCCTTTGGAATCCGTTGCCTGATACCGAGGACCATCTGATGCAAGACAGCATGCCAGAGGGCTGTACTAGGTATGCCAACCGCATTTTGACAAGCAACAGCAGCTGGTTCGTGCGGTTGAAGAGCACAGATACACAAGAGCCTCTGCTGTGATTGTGCAGTGCTCTTTGCGATACAAAAGGCTGGCAAGGCAATGGGCAGGACAAGTCAGTTAACACGGCGATACTTCTTATCATAATGCCTTTGTCAATCACACTTACCAGCACTTCCCATAAAACAGTTTTATGCGGAAGTAAAAGTACTAGCAGCACGAGTGAAAGAGCGTATTTACATTCAGCTGCATCGCACAATACTTGCAGAACGCCTGAAGAAAGACACGTCTATTTTAAAGGCGGCGACCAAAATGTCGTCTGATTGGAGCAATGAGAACACAATAACATAATAACACGTAAACACAATTCTTTCGATAGTGTGATGGCAATGGCTGAATGTAAATGTAGCGTTAAAAGTTTCTCAATCCATAAAGTGTCAGTACGAAATAATAATCGTCTCTACATTCCAGTAGATCAAAATAAAGATATCTAATATATAATAAGTAATATTATCAATAAAAATATATATATTATAGCAAAGTCAACACATAGACTTTTACACAGCATAAGAAAGAAGTAGGCCCACAGTTGTCAAGTTTTAGTTAAAAAAATACAGAAAATGTAACAAATTGCCGTTTTCAAAAACAATAATTACAGAGCTTGAAGATAATGTCCACATTTTATTTATTGTGATGTAATCACGATCAATAGAACAATAGTTTATGATGACAATATTTTTAAACTCTTGAGTCGCTAGTAATGATTCAATGAGAACTTGGTCTCACAGAATATTTCTTGCAAATATAAAAAAATATAATAACTTGCATGTGGTATAAATTAATAATGATATAAATACTCGAACTGACTCTTTTCGAATGACTGGAACGAATTCTTACATACTTAATAACAATTTAAATGTAACAGTAAATAAGTCAAGAACCTAAAAGGAAATCAAAAGAGGATTAAAATACCTTCGTTAACCGTAGGCGTTCCTCATTTATCATGAAGAAATTAAAGGCTTGTTATAATAACAAAGACCGATTTAAGGTGACTGACCGAAAAACAATCATGCACTTAGGTACCGAATATAATGTTTCTCGGAACCGACAGCATATCGTTTGCCAAAAAACGGCCAGATATTCGTGCGTTCGACGCTCCGTGAAAAATTAAATATACCCCTCCCATCTCATGCACATCATATCAAGCACTTTTGCAATAAATAACAGCCCGGTTTGTTCATCTTTTTTCAAAACTGTTGCGTAGCAGGCAGACGTGAGCAAGTTTTTATAGCGACTAACATATTCACCGGTTCCGAATTTCTGATGCATCATTAACAGCGTTTTCGAATGTCAATGATCAAAAAATTAACGCTCGAAATCAATGCAAAAAATGACAAATTGCATCATTAAAACATTACTCAAAAGAAACATGTTTTCGAATATCCCATCGTCTCTTACCAAAGTAAAAATAAAACCTAAAAGATAATCAATCCATAAAACTGTCAGGAAATATAATTGAAATGTTTAGTAATATTCAAATTTTATTTAAGATAAATTCGATTAACTCTTAACATATTTATGTAAACGATACATAAACAGGGCTGGGACAGATAACCTTACAACACCCGCTGATTAATTATATGGAATGGTTTTAGAATTTTGTAATATACATATTTTAATCGTAGGTATGTCCCAATGATTATTTTTAAATGTTCGAACGAAAATAGTTTCTTTAAAAGTACATATACACGTGTATGTTCCTCTTATAGATCTTTCTAATAATGATGTACATGCCGTTTAAAAATGGCAAATGTAAGATTCGCAATTCTACATTAGTTTTCAATAGTATAGTAGAAGATTTTATCTTGCTAATTGTTAATTCTTCCGCCCATAAGGAAGCCAAAAGTACGGCACAAAAACACAAAGCTATTTTCTTTTATTCTTTCAATACGCTTCCAAGAACATTGAACTCATCTAGCAGTTTAATGAAACAAGACTTATCCGCTAGAGATATTGTCATGCCAATAATCCTCAATTTATCTAATCGTCCATTCGCAATCTAATCCGCGCATGTTGCAACTATGTCGTAACGGCACTGACCTATGTCAACGTCTACAAACGTTCACGGAATGCGATAACGCAAAAAAGTTGCATAAGTGCTTGGTGCACTGTGATTGTCACTTAGTATAATGTAGCCATCATAGCAATCGTTTGTCTATATAGACACGTCTGCCCTAAAGGTCTATTGTTGATTCTTTTTCACAATAATAAAAACATTCAACATGGGAAAAAAACACTATTTCCTTTGGATGCAAGAAGCACAGAAAAGAAGAAGAGATTTTGTGCAGAATAATATGCTGACAGAGAAAAATGAAAGAAGAGAATACACTGCACAGACCTCAAATAAGTTGGGTCGGGACTATAACTCTACCGCGTAACTATCCATAAGACGTTTTTCGGCTTTCAAACGTCCATTGACCAAAGATGATTGGTCTATTCAATTCTGGACCTTTTTGTCATACTTTATTTCAGACTTCATTTTGAAAGCCGAAATACGATGTTGGGTCCAGGAGGATGATATCGGATTTAAACAAATAATTTGCTAAAAATTTTAGCTTTTCAGTTCAGACAAT